AAAAACATCAAGTTAATTAATATATTTTATGTGCTTTTTTTTATTCTAACATTTTCAGACCAGAATCATTTAAAATAACATAAAAAAACATATCTGCTGGCTTTAGAAAAAAAAAAAAAAACCCTTCAAAATCAACTTAAAAAACATTTAAACACAATGCCAAACAATGCAATATGGGTTACAAGTGTAAAAGATGCCAAGGGGTGCAGGTTAATGATGTATAAGTTGAAAAAATGGTCAGTAATGATAAATGCTACTATATAAAAATAAATAAAATAAAGCTAAAAAAATTAGATACTACACATGCATTCATGGTCTAGATGAAAAGTGAAAGTAAAAAATAATAATAAAGCAGTATTCAGTTCAAGAAAAAGAGGGAAAGACGGAAAACCAATATATTTTATAGGGTACATAAATTTGATTATTGTTATAGTTTTGCATTATTTGAATGTTAATAATAAAAATAATTTTTTAAAAATAAAAAATATATTTTAATATATTTATAAATGATAAACAGCTTAAAAATAATTAATACCACATTTTTAAACACAATTGTGTCCAAAAATTGGTAAAAATCATTCGGAGACCACACGAAGGAACTTTTCAAGCCCAGTATACTCAAAAATTGATAAACCTCTTGCCTCCGTGCCGCTGTTCCAAGGTGAGGTAATCCACCCCCGCCTCTCAAATAAACACACACATACACGATATATGTCGATACCTCTTAATAAGTCATTGATTCATATCAATTTTATCTTTGATTTACGAGAATTATTCCGTTCATTTTATTGACAAAAATTATTGCTAAAAAATATTTAAGGATAATACTTAAAATCAATATTCTTTTCATTTTATAATTTAAGTCATTGGCAATTGTACTTATACTGTAGAATTTAAGACCAGCTATATATATAAAGCCACTATTTAATTAACTCAATTAAATCTATAATTGGTAGATGCTAAAATTAAATAGAGATAAATTATTAGTATAATTGATGGAGTATGAATAAAAATAAATTATTGATATAATTTATAATATAATTAGTGTCATGATTTATCTTTATTTATTCACTCTTGTCTATAAATAAAAATACTTTCAAATTTATTTTGTACACGAAAGAAAAGGAAAGTAATTCTATAAAGTTGTGAGGTATTTATGAAAAAGTAAGATGTTTTCTTTTAATAATAGAGAAATTCTTAGTTTTTCTCTTATTATTTAAAAAGGATTGTAATTCCCATATTACATAATAAAATTTTTCAATACTTGCCCATAATCTAATTATATAAACTATGTAAATTTTTATGTACCTCATTTATCATTTTATTTTATATTTTATTTTTTATTTTGTCAAAATTACATGACAATATCCTAATACCATGTTATTAAATTCACTTTTTAATCTCTCCATTACAGAAAAATAAAACGAAAACGAAAAATAAAAACCCCATTGAAGTTTTGACAAATAAATAAATAACTAATAATAATAGAGAAGTAGCTGACTTTGAGGGGGTGTCTTGGCTAGTCAGCTATGGTACGTATTTGGCGAGTAGACAACAATATTGTCATCTCATACAAGTCACTGTTGTGTGTTCTTCTGTACTGAGTGATCATGGTTATATCATGTGTATATCATAGTACAGACACTGTTATTTATGTCCCAAGCTAGATAGCCTGCAACCTGGAGCTGCTCAGGTGGCCTTCCAAGTGCAATGTCAAGATTCTACAAGCAAAAGGGGGCTTGGATGTTTTTTTAGAGCATTTTTAGGCGATTTTTGTAAAATTTCTTTGTTTTTACGCTGATGAATGGTTGGAGGTTTTCTCTCTCTTGGTTTTTGTGTTTATGAGTAATCTATCAATTATTGCAAAGCATGACTGCATAATCTTGCAAGCCACGCACCTTGATAAAGTTCAAAAAAATCATTCAGTCAATGGCACAAAAAACTAAATATTATCAGAAACTAAAATTAGCTCCTTAATTTATTACCTACCCTTCTTCTTCTTCCTCTTCTCTGAAGCTCAAATAAGCAATTCGTTGCAATTCACAGGGAGGATTGACGTCAAGCCATCGGCATTGTATAGGGAAATGAGATCAGGGGGGGCTCTGGTTCAACATAGACAGATCGCATATAAAGCCTGACCTGACCTAGCCAGGCCTATACAACCCAGCTATATGTAAGCCTATAACATATCCACGTGACCTTGATAGGTAACCATGCATATGCACCTGACGGTTTTCTGTCTCTGCATTTAGTCCAACCACTTCGTTATTCAAAAAAGGAAACTTTTCATTCATTTTGGCTCGAAAAGAAACAGTCGACAGATGCTTTTTTTATGTGTGTGGATTGGATAACTAGATTCATCTTTCTTGTAATTCATCTACTAAGGTGACTGCCACTCATAAATCTCGTCCACATGGGCCATTGCTGCATAAAACTCATGATATGACATGGCTGACAGATTATAGGTTGCTCTATTTTGACAAAGCAATAAAATCGGTGCTTCCATTTTGGCCTTGAAGTTCAGGCCAATTATGCAACTACACACAAGGTGATTCTACAGTGTCTTTGGTTTTCAACCAAAAGCGTTGTCTTTAGATCGACGACTCATTGACCGGATGGTTCTTTCAAACGTCATGAGGCATGACTCCACCGGATTTATTAGATGTTTCAAATTGGTTGGCGAGATGTTTCAGAATCATGTCAAAAAAAGGATTTAGTTTTATTCCATCAACAATTTCATCGTCCTGGAAGCATGCAAGCCATCCGAAATACTAGAAAATGTTTGAGAATCTTCAGTGAACCTGTATTTGAAAAAGGCAGTGCCTTCTGTTTTTCCAAAGCCATTGAAGAAAATGCTCTAAATAGAACATAGAACAGTGAATGTAGGCACATCATGGTTTACGTACAGGACTTATTTGTTAATTCTTTAGCAATTGAAGTACAGAATCTCACAACATATCACGTATGGATTCCAATATCTGTGATTTCTAGTCCGCCAGAAACCGCCACCTCTACGGTGTATGCTTATGAAAAGGTGCTCTCATCCTTTCCTGAATTTGCCATATCTGCTTCACGATAACATCTCAGGTCTCCAGGTAGCAGAAAATTGAAGTCAAGATCTGAGGGCTCTTAAATATTACACCATACACATACAAAGAAAATTTCAAGACGGCGACAGTATCCAAGAACTGAGTTTTGGAGGCACCTCATTGTATGAATTTGGTAAAAGATGTACGATAGAAGCACGTGACAGTATCCAAGAACTGAGTTTTGGAGGCACCTCGTTGTATGAATTTGGTAAAAGATGTACGATAGAAGCACGTGACAGTATCCAAGAACTGAGTTTTGGAGGCACCTCGTTGTATGAATTTGGTAAAAGATGTACGATAGAAGCACGTGACAGTATCCAAGAACTGAGTTTTGGAGGCACCTCGTTGTATGAATTTGGTAAAAGATGTACGATAGAAGCACGTGACAGTATCCAAGAACTGAGCTGAGTTTTGGAGGCACCTCGTTGTATGAATTTGGTAAAGGACGTACGATAGAAACAGGCATGGGTAAAAACGGAAAGGTATCATTCTTCTGAACGTTGTTTTGCAAGTTCTAATTGAGCCCGGAAACCCCCCGCCAATGACTCCCTCTGTACACAGTAAGCCATGAACTTTTGTCCGATCTCTTCCGGTGCAGTCCTATCAGGGGTTCAGACACAGAAATTGCTCAGATAAAGAGTAGAAAAGATATGGTGATTTCAGTATTGAAATTCAAGAACTTCAAAGCAAATAAGATCAGTTAAATATTCACTGTTCATACACCTAGGTCCTACAACTACAACTACTATTTCGAGGAAAAGACTCGCCTAAACAAGAGATGTTAAAGGAAAGATTTTGACTATTGGGAAAAACAGATTAAGGACAAGCGCTACAAGTTGATGCCCTGGAACAGAATAGGGGGATTTGCTTTTTGACCAGGAAACTGATTCACTCTCTATTGGACACATCAAAAAGATATGAGCAGCAGTAGAAAGCATGTAGAAGAATGGGATGTGATGTAACAACTCGTACCTCCTTTTATGTGCTTTTATATTTTGAGATTCTTGACGGAGATGAAGATGCCAATCCATATTCTTATATGTGTGTGTATGTGATGAGGAGATTATAGCTATATTTTTTTTTCAGCATTTTTTTTAAATTAATATCTTTTAATATTTTTAAATCATTTTAATCCGTTAATATTAAAAATAATTTTTAAAAAATAAAAAATATTATTTTAATATAAATATATTTTTAAATAGGCTTTAAAACTTTAAAAGGTTGCGGTTGATGTTTTGAATGTAGACTATTAAAAATAGATAATAAAACTGTAAAATAAATCCCAAGATTCATCCTAAAAAGGTCCTTGGTTTGACGCAGTTCATAGTCTACCTTTCCCTACAAGATTCATCCTAAAAAGGTCCTTGGTTTGACGCAGTTCATAGTCTACCTACCCTACCCCATGAAATTGAACTAAAATGTAGGAAAAACCACAGTGATTGTGATGCGGAGGAAAATTGAGCATCCCTGTCAAAACTGGATAAATAAAATGTGTTATGCCATTATATCATGGCATGTAATTTTCATTTCAATGCAAGAGCATAGGTATTCAATCAAGGGTTTAATGCCTGCTGGGAAGTATACTTAGAAAATTAAAGACTGATAAGAATTTTCTAGACTGAAGAGAAGTAATTTTGATTTTTTAGAGCTATCTGAAATGGGATGGAACATACAGACCATACTCTACAGAGATGGGATATCAGTTCTGCCTTTTGCATTAAATGTAGGCGTCTTTCTTTTGTCTTGGCAACGATAAAACAATGAGATGGGGACCTAAATTGTTAATGGATTATGAAATTAATGGTGGTCCTCAATCTTCGCAGCATTCCTCCCTCCCTCCCTCCCTCTCTCTCTGTCTCTAACACCCTAAACTGTACTTTGTTCACAATGCGGTCATGCATCATACTTGCATGTCATATATAAAGAGTACAGACCAACCCACAAAAGCTCCAATATAAACCCTATTTGAATGATGTCAAGGTTGACAGAAGCAAGTCCATGAGAATCTAGCTACTAGCCGAACTGCTAAACTGTGAGAGCAATTTCCATCTTGCAGTTGATCTCAATTTATCATGAGCTCTTGTCATATTTGCCTCCTCTACTTGATGATGATGATGCTCATCATTACAGGTTGCAGTCCTGGAATAAAAACAGGTGATATGGAACTCCTGTTCCTTCTCTCCTAGTCTTCCTTTCTCGGGCACTTATTTTATTTCTAACACACGTTGCAGGTGGTTCAGATAAGTTTTTGCAATCATGTGATGGAAGTAATAGCCAATCAACAACACTAACCACCATAAGACAACCGTCATACTCAAGCCACAGAAAGCTTTCGGTACATGGTAAAATTCAATCTCTTGACAACTTCCTACATGTTCTATTGTTTGTCCTAGCCAGACTTCAAGTTTCCTCTGGAAGTCTATACTTCTTCTTCTTGTCTCAAATGGTACTTGTCTTGCTTGGTCCTTTAAATTTTCAACAATAGGTACTTGCACAAACAGGGATATAAGCATCTCACAAAGTAGAGATACTACTTCTGGGATCCCACAGTACATAGTGCAGATTGTCAACACTTGCGTTTATGGTTGTGCTCCTTCAAATATCCATCTTCATTGTGGCTGGTTTGCCTCTGCAAGAATGGTTAACCCAAGAACCTTCAAAAGGCTCTCTTATGATGATTGCTTGGTCAATGGAGGGAAAGCTTTGAAGACTAGTCAGATTGTCAGATTCACGTACTCAAACTCCTTCATGTACGCACTCCAATTCAAGTCTGCCAAGTTCTGCTGACTTGCCTAAAAACAAGGTCTTTATCATAGAGAGATAAGAGAGAATCGGACCATGTACAACTAAATCCCAGTAAAGAAAAACCCTAACATCCTGTCCCTGTTGGTCGAAAAAAAACATCATTCCCTAGCATCGTTGCAAATGAAATATCAACAGTCTCATCTATGAGCTTTCTCATCACAGCCTAGAGCCTACAATCTATAGATGCTGAACCATAAGCTCGTCCTTTTGAAACTTTAAACCGGCCCGTTGTTCGTTGACTTTTCACAGCCATTTTGTTTTGATATTTGAAGGTGTAAGTATTATTTTATTATCTCCAGAGACGTTAATATTTCATCATTCTGAAACTAGACTTTTTCGAGTCTAGAAGCTAATGTTTCTATAGCTGCTTGATGCACAGTAGAGTCTGAAAAAACTTGTGCGTTCTTGGCAGAAGCGTGTGCTGTCATTGCAGTCTCTCTTTTCTTTTGCTTTAATTAAACACCAACCTGTGAAGGTTTGAGAGAGAGAGAGAGTTGAGAAAGGAGGTTGCATGGTAGCATCAAGGCTCATTGCTGGAAAAGAAAAATTGAAAAAAATAAAATAGAGCAGCAAGAAACCAAGGGAACCCTTATTGGGAAAGTTGGTAACATCAATGTGGTGGTTAGGAGAACTGTTACAAGCAAATGGGGTTTGAAATCAGCCTCTGTGGCATACAAATTGAAGCGCAGATGTTACAATCTTATAGTCTTGTTAACATTTAGTAAACAGGTAAAGAAATGCTTTTGGTTTTCTTGCGTGGTAAACTGTGATTTTTATGTTAGTTCTGTAAATTCTGACATGGTGTTTGATGTAGACTGGAGAATGTTGATATTGATTTATGCTCTAATCTTTCTCTTCTAAACTAATCAGCAGAGAAATGAAAATCAATTTGCTGGAGAACTGCAATATTGACACCCTAGACTTGATCGGACTAGTGTTTTCAAGAATAGATTGCAAATATCCTACAGTATGACAACCATACATTCCTCCTAACTAGGCTAATTAAATAGAAAAGGAGAAACTCTAAGAAAAAGAAAAAGAAAATCCTCATCTTCCTTTGGGATTTACTGTTGAAAAAATTTCTCTAGAGTATGGTTCATCAGTTCCCTCACGTCCTGTCTCCTCAGTTCCAGCTATCTCTCTATGATTTGCATCGGTGTCATTTGTTGTGCTGTCTGCAATTAATCCAGCACCAGCAGGATTGTCTTGCAATTGTAGAGAATATTCAAGATTCCACAGCACATCACCCATGGAAGGGCGATTGTATCCATGATCAGCCAAACATTTTTCTGCTGTCTCAGCGAATTTGTTATAGCACTCAGGATTTATGTCTCCCTTTATATATGGATCAACAATATCCCAAAGGGTTCCCTTCTTTTGGCAATGTAGAGCCCAATCTGCTAGACTAACTTGTTCTTTAGGCAAGCTAGGATTAAGGGCCGGCCTGGCACATAATACTTCAAAAAGGACTACCCCGAAAGAGTAAACATCAGATTTTTCTGTCAATTGTTGCCGACGGAAGTACTCAGGATCCAAGTACCCAAAGCTACCCTTCACTACTGTACTGACATGTGTTTGGTTAAGATTAGGTCCAGTTTTTGACAGGCCAAAATCGGAAACCTTTGCCACCCACTTCTCATCCAAGAGTATGTTTGTAGTCTTTACATCCCTGTGAATGATTGTGTACCTTGCACCAGTGTGGAGATAGTGGAGCCCTCTTGCAGCACCAATACATATCTCCAATCTTTGCTTCCAAGACATTGCTGGATTGTTGCCCTTGTAGAGATGCTCCCTTAGAGTACCATTTGCCATATAATCGTAAACTAGAACCATTTCCCCATCTTCTTCACAGAACCCAATTAAAGAGACTAAATGCTTGTGTCTCAGCTTAGAAAGCATCTCAATCTCGGTCTGAAACTCGTGAACTCCTTGTTCTGAAGAAGGATTTGATCTTTTGATTGCAACTGCTATCCCTTGGTCAATAATGCCTTTGTAAACCTTCCCAAATCCTCCAACTCCTATGACTTGAGATTCATCAAAGTTCTTGGTAGCATGTTTAATATCTGGCAATGAAAAATGGCGACATAGGCCTTGCGCAAGAGTTGAAAGATGGCTACTGCAATTGCTTTTACCAGATATTGTTGATCTGCTAGCCGATGTGTGTGAATGTCCGTAGAGTGGCAACCAATTAGCACTACTTCCATACTGATTTCCATAATCACCGCTCATCTTCCTGTATACAAAAATGGAGATAAGAGCTGCTATTGCTATTCCAGCACTCCCACCAAGAATGCCACCAATCACTGGGACAAAACTGGATCCTGATGGTGAAAAACCCTTTTTTGCTTCTGCCTGAAGCATCATCAGTGATGGCACTGGATTCGGGCCAGCTAAATTTCCTCTGGAGTCATTAAGCTTAAAAATCTCCAGTCCATTAAGAATCGCATCATAGTATTCTGGTTTCATCGATACACTAGGATGCAATGCCACCCACAAATCATCATCGTCACCACTCCGATCACCAACATAAACAGCATAATCCTTATAGATTGGCACTCCTTGAGATCCTGCCCAGCCTATCACGTCAGCACCTTCTTGTGCTGTTTGGTTATTAACATAGATATCAAACACTCTCTGGTTGACCTTTGTCTCCTGATACTCGCAGAAATGGAACCTAAGCGCATATGTAAAATTCGGATCAACCTGAAATATCCATGTTAGATTATAGTTCTGATTCACTTTCGAATCTGGCCCCATTGATCTTGCTGTACTATAAACATCTAAAGGTGCAACATGCTTTGGTAGATTATCTGTAGGGTATTGAATGCTAATGTTAGCTTGAGAAGTGACGCCGCTGCCTGCGCCAAACAAATATGGTGTATCATCATACCATGTTCTTGTAAGGCCTGAGTCCTTGATTGCAGGAATGAAACGCCCACCAACATTTAACCTAAACATTGTTTGTAAAGTCGAGCTACCAACATCAAGGGTTTGGTCGCTGAAACCAACCAATGCTGCAGGCTGGTAAATATCTGGCATTGGAATTACTTCAATGCCATTAACAAAAGCATATGCATTATCATAATTTGAGGAGGGTGTGAAGGTGAGATTGAGAGTGCCAGAATCAATTGGTATCAGAGAGAATTCCCTAACAATAAAGGCCTGCGTGAGAGCCTGTGCCGTAATGGAGGCACTGAAATTGTTCAGGAGGGTGAAAGTATTTGCAGTAACGGAGAAGTACGAAGTGTTAGGATCAAGAGAGGTACAAGTAGATGGATAAAAATGGAGTCTGACCCAGAGGCGACCCTTTTTAGGAACAGAAAACTTGTACGTAGATTCAGATGAAAATATCCTTGCAGTCATGTAAGGAATTGTGGATGGCAATGAAGGGTCTTGGTTTTGAGCTGTTGCAGCTGTTGAATTACCTGAAGAAATGATGTAATTTGCATCAGACTGCCAATTCCTGCCATCACTATCCGTGCCAGAACCAGAAGCACCACAAGCGAGGACATAAGAATCTGATCCTGATTTAGAGTATTTGCTTACAACAGGAATTGTGTTTAAGCCGACAGACAAGACAATCAGAGAAAACAGGATATGGCTATTGCATTTCATATCTAAGAATAAAATATATAACAAAAACAGAGGACACGAAAGCAGGGAAGCTGAAAAAACGAGAGAAAATGTTTGCTGATAGTCAAGAATGAAGGAAGATGTGGGAAAATTGGGGTTAAATAATCATTACTCCATTGATATAAACGCGTTTTGTTTTGATTATGAGGACTAAATTTGAAGGTTCACCTGGAATGTACAGGGGAAGAAGCAGAGAGAACATGGTTTTTTTTTTTTTTTGCCCCTCTGTTTTTATTCTTTTTCTTTTCTTTTGAGAAAGGACGTTATGATAGGAGTGGCAGTTAGAGACTTGTGGAGAAAGAGAACTATAAATTGCCTATTGCATTGATTTCCCTTGAAAGATGGGCGTTTCTTTAGGATTCTCCCTTCACTTTATGCATTGCAGGACCTTGCACAGATGACCTTCTTTAGTGCTTTCATTCTTGGTGTTCCCTGTAAGAGTAAACCTGCTATTACGTAACATTTTTAATTCAATGAAGGAAATCTTTCTGAAATTGATTTTAGGATGAATTTTATAAGATGATATCCGTAGAATTTGTTGATATTTAGAGACTTAATTCTTCTGCATTACTCCATCAGACGGATGGAGATTCAAGAGGAATTAAATGTTTTAACTAGGATTCAAGGAGTGTGTGTATCAATAGTTATTTTTAAATAATTTTTATTTTTTAAAATTTATTTTTAATACTAATACATCGTAAAAAACAATACATAACAAGTTCAAAAACCGTAAATATTAATAAAATTATCCAGAAAATTATAAATTATTAGATAATAACTTTCAAAATAATCTTGTGATTAGATGTATAGTTTTTGTTATTTTTTATTGTGAAACGGCATCACTTTTTGTATCATATTCTGTACAACTTCTTAGTTTAAGGCGCTCGGAGTGAATTTTATTTAAGAATTTCAGTCAGTAAATAAAAAATATTACTATAGCAAGGCATATTACATATGATAAACCGAAAATATGGACTCTGGTAATTTTCTCAAATACACATATGGCCTGGCTAACAGTTTATCTGGGCAACGAAAGAAGCCCAAGAGGCTAGCACAGACACTAAACACATCTTTCACTAACCCCCAAAATCTTTTTTTAAAAAAAAAAAAAAAGTGAACTTTTAACGGATAGCAGGAAACCTATCAGCCGCACAGGCCTTGTGCCTTTTTTTCATGTCCTTGTGCTTCTCCATCATTGCCGCAAAATTACGAGCATGTTTGGCTAAGCGTTTTCGGCAGTGTTTTCATTTAACATTACCAATATATAGTTTGATTATAAAATGAGCTGTAGTTTTTATGCATTGACTCTATCTTTATCTGCATTCATAACTTAATTTTATTAAAATAGAAATTAGATGTTTTTTGTTTCTTTTTCATGCGACTGTGTTTATAAACACAATATAAAAGTTGTTCCCATTTTCCTTCCTTGATTAGTGCTTTGGGTATGGATGAATTTTATCAAGATGAGAAAATCATAAGAACTGTTTTTATCTGAGTGTGGCGCTGCTAGAGGTATCGAGAGAGACAGTTAGGCTAGCTTGCTAAAACTATTTTTCTTTTATTCAACCACGAGAGCTATTCTTAATAATTTCTCTTTTATTCTTCCTCTAGTCTTCGTAATTGTTGCTACACTTAAAGATAATAATGACAATGATAGAGGGCTGGTCTACTAAAATCATTTTCCTCTCTTTTATTTTTCCTTTACTCTTCTTCTAGTTTTTTAGGTGCTCTTCTTATTTGGAAAGTGAATTAATTCAGTCTTTACAAAAATTCACTCTTCATTGTTGTGAACAATGGAGAGTGAATTATTATTAATTCACTCTTTGCAAAAAAAAAAATTATATTTTATTAAAAAAATTAGTATTTAATATTATTTAACAACACTACATAAATTAGAAAGAGATCACACAATAGCATGATATTTGCAGAATTTGATCGTGATTTTAATTTTATTTTTGATGATATTTTACCTAATTTTGTTGCACGCTCAAAAAATCATGGAAACTATAGTTCTTGTTCGATGAAATTCGTACGTAATAAGATCATAAATAGTTTAATAAAACAATAAAAAATATTTTATATAAAATATTATTTATTTCATAATATAATAGCAGTAGTTAAATTAACAGTATTTAAATTAAAAACTATCAATATTAATATATATTTTTTAAAATCATTTTATAACCTCAATTTCAAAAACATTTTTAATCAAACACATTAAATTACTTTTTCTTCAACCTCAATTTCAACCACAGTTTTAATCAAACACCTATTTTTTCAAACCAATCTCAATTAAAAGTACTTTTTATAAAACA